AAGAATAAATTACATTAAGGAACTTGGAAAAGAAGTGTCTTGAGCCTTAAGCTGCCCCCTGCAGTGTCTCAGGGGGAGCCTGTTTCTTGCAGTCTGGGTCACAGTGCTTGTGGCTGCAGTGATCTGTTAAACCACGCAGGTCCACACAAAAGGACAGGAGGAAAGTAAGAGGCATCACAGAGCTTGAATAACAAACTCCTCTTCTTTCAGCACCTTGTCAGTGGAAAAACACTTCACCATTAATCCATTAATCCCCCCTACTTCACCAGCGACTCAACAACCTCACAATAATGTTATATATATAAAAAAAACAGCGGATGCAACAGATTTCTTCCACAGCAGACAGCCAGAACCAAAAGTGTGAATTGAATCTAGTGCCAGGCAGATTGTGTTCTTGCATTTCATATGCTGTCTGGGCACAAACCCAGACACGTTTTTTAAAAAAAAATAACTGCAGGAAAGGGGATTAGAAACAAAAACACCTGAAACCTGTTTGATACAGTAAGAATGTATGGAGATATTTAGAGATTTTGTGAAGGTTTTTGGCTTTAACATTCTTGCTGTAACATATACAACACTGCATGTTTCACCTTGTCTGGGACACACCCTCAGTTGTCTAAAGGAAGGCCCTGCTCTGACCTTGAAATATTTTTACATACTGTAGGTCAAACAACATTTGAACTCCCATGGTTCACAAAAGGAACATGTGGTCATAAGGTTGCCAAGAATGTCTGTTCCTAAATATGAGAGAGAATGATGTAAAAAGACAAAGGGGTCAATGTCACATTGAAGAAGAAGCTTGTCAGTGATTTTCAATGAACATGGCAGCTTCTGCCAAGCCCACTGGCCACAACAGATATTTATAAAGGGGCCCAAGTCTGCCTGTCATGTTAATACTGCACATGGCAAGGGCTGATATCTACAACAAAATATATTTCATGAGCCTTGTTTTTACATGGTAAGTTAGTCAAAATGAGTTACCAGGGGCCTGCTGAGTGGCTGTAACAGTGGAGGTACTTGTCCAATGCAGATTATGCTCCCTGATCACAGGTTCGAGCCTGGGTCACATCACTAGCTGACTGAGCAGAATTCCCCAAGCAACACACAGGGGAGGGTGGGATTTGTTGGCCACAACTTTCTCCACTCATAGCGCCCCCTCTGGTCTTGCAGGGAGAAACACACCTCTCTGTGAAGTACAGGACTGTGCCATGTACCTTGTGTTTAGAGCCAGCTGTGAGAGTCAGCCTGTGTGTCCACATCTCCTGTATGCTACTGCATGGTTTGCAGCTTCAAGCCGAGATGGAAGTCACACAGTCAGCTATTCCAAATCAAGTGACAGTTGGCGAAGCTATCTTTAATTATTTGTAAATACATTTTGAATCACCGATCAGTTCAAGATCAAGATCCTGTGAATTTCCAACAACAATTTTGAGTTTGCACAGTGGGTTTTATAGTTAAAGATGGTAATACTATTGTCTACTTCATCTCAAACTCACAGGAGTCTGCCACATGACCATTCATCGACTGTAAATTTAAATTAGGCTTATCTTAAATAGGCATGGCCAGATTCTGAGCTGCACATGATATTTCAATGAGCAAAATGCCCAGAAATCTATTGCTACCTCCTGGATGTGATACAACACCAGTACAAAGTCACAGAAACAGTTGTGGATGTGGTACAACACCTTTCAATTACAACAGGATAGATGTGTCACGACCACCAGGCAGTCAAGACCAAAGCGTAAGCGAGCTAATCAGACCCAGCAGCGGGTGATTATTAACAAACGCCGCCGCACGAGTTAAACCACCTGCGCACACTCATTGCGGTGCGCACTGCTATTTAAACCATCTTCACCTGCTTCCCACTGCTTGGTATTGAGTCTACTCCTTGAGAGCTCTACCTGGCGTTTTTCCCCGTACCTCGTTTATTCTGGTTTTTGGATTCCCCTTCTGCCTTTTCGACTTTGCACCTCGCCTCTCGACTCGGACTGTCTGCTACCGGTGAACTTCCTGGATTACGACTTGCCTTTCGCCTTTTGACTACGACCTTGCCTCTCGTTCTGGTTTGTTCGCCTGCCTCATCTATCACCCGTGCCTGCGTCTGCACAGGATCCGTGTATCTTCTCACCAGGGATTCCTAACAAGATGTTCATGAGGAGCAGGGACCTGGGCACTCAGGTGTCTTTTCCAGGCCACATTGAAGGCATGATTAAAAAAGACAAATGTGTGACACCTGCTGTCTCTGCAATGAAAGGCCTCTTTACCCTGGGCAGTGTGCCCATAGTGTGCCACTCCCCAATCACCCTCTCTGTGTCTCTGTGTATTCCAGGCCTTCACAAAAAGATCAGTGGTGCTACAGCCTGGAGCTGCTGGCCCATCTACCTCACAGCCCCAACCTGGTACCCAGTGATTTTCATCTCTTCTGTGCCTTAAAGAAGCACCTGTCCAGAGGATCATCTGAAACTGACATGACACGCAGCAGGCAATTATACCTTGTCACCAGTAATGTCACCTCAATTCCTGCTACATAGGATTCTGTCATGCCATTTTGTTGAAGGTCTTAAATTTAAACAACTTTTATTCATGTGATAAACGCAGATATGCCAAGGTGCCATGATCATATTGTTCATTTCAGCTGCATTTATTTGTGATTAGACTACCGGGAGCTCTTGTTATCTTCTTTTTTCTTTAAACACTTTGATAATAAGCATCCATAGCAGCTAAATGACTTTCTTACATTAACACCTTTTGCATTAGCATTTTCCCATTTTTAACGTGTCTCACATCAACTAGACATTTCCAGTCTTGAGTCAATGAATAGACTCTAATCACGACACATTTATGGTATTTGTGTGATTAATATATTTAAAAAGAATCCATTGGTAAGCACAGATAACTTAAAAGAATATAAATTTGAACCTTTGGCACAAAGAGTGTCAATAGGAAGAACAGCTCAGCGTTTCTCAACTATTACTTGTCCCCAGCATCAGTGATTCATTCTCCTGTGTTGGAAACTGTGTCTTTTTATATAGTTTCTTCAGGACTTTTACAATTTTTAGTTTACAATATATGTACATTAAGAGTCTAAAATGGCAGAATTTCGGTTTTGTTAACATTAGGTTCAGCAGGGCAGCAGGAAAATGTGTATTGAAGACCTTCAGAGAAGAATAGCTGGAGGTCTTTTGGAGTTCACTGTTTTTGCACACCCACTCTTTAGTATTTAAAAATATATGAGCCCATCAGGTCAAGAGATGAATACCTTGGGTTTGAGGAATTGAGAATCTGTGTTCTGCAGTGACTGAGGGAAGAGTGTTTCATACTGTTCATTCTCTGGTATGTTACACAAGTCGCAGCAGTAAAGAGGCAGACTGTGACTTCTGTACAAACTGCTCAAGATTGATTTCCCAGCTAATGAATAATGAATACAATGAATATGCACTATTACAGGATTTTCATAACATCTCACTCTCGTCATGCCAATCTTGCAACACACGCAACATTTCAAAATAGAAAATGAAAAAAACAGTTTCAGTCTGGTTCTTTTCCTCTGTTTCTTCTGTAATAAGCAAAACTGTCATTTTAACAATAAAATTATTAGTGTTGAAGAAAATACTTAAAAAATTGAACTTACCATGATTAGAAGCTGATTGAAAGAAAAATGCAATGGGTCACAGTTAATCATTGCTTTGAAAATCAGACATGTAACCCTTAACAGCTACAGTTACAATTAATTAATTCTGAATGACTACCATGTCCTGGTTTCAAAAATCACCATTAACAATATGTTCCTCATGTTATAAGTATTTGACAGTCTCCTGATACTGAACAGCACCTCAACTGTGAAGCTCAATGGAGATGAGGTTCTTTGGAGCACCTGTGATTCCTTCTTCTTTCAAACTTTAACCTCTAAATCAGTTTTGGTAAAGGTTTATCATGTTTTCTTCTATCCATGAAACTTTGTTCTATAACTCTCCCGGCTCATCTCTGAGGTAATGCCAAGGTCTGGGGATACATAGGTGACACTGAAGGTGTCTTGCTGCTCTTTATTGTAATTGATGTAACCAATGTTGGCAGAAGAGGAATTAATTCTGTAATGTACAGAAACATTATGTCTGCTTATGAAGAAAATGCTTCAATTTCTATTGAGTAGCACTTCACCACACAGCATGACAATGACTGAAAACATATGGCCAGTGCCACACAGGCGTTTGTCAGGAGAAAAAAGATTTAAATGCAATTGAGCATGCATTTTTCAACTGAGAGAAAAAAAAACTGAAGCCAACCCACCCCAAGAACAGAAGGTACTGTATATAAAGTGTTTATAATATGTAATATTATCGAATATGATTAATTGTATGTATAGAATTACCCAAAAAAGCAAATACAGTATATTCAGTACATTGAACTTATCATTCATATTACTCTCCAAGGTCAAGACAGTGGTGCAGTGGTTAGCATTGCTATCTCGCAGTGCTGGGGCCCTGGGTTTAATTATTGGGGTAATGCCTGCGTACAGTTTGTATTTTGTGTTCATTTGGGATTTCTCTGGGTGTACCAGTTTTTCCCCACAGTCCCCACAGTCCTAAGACATAATAGTAGGATAACTGGCTTTTAAGAAAAGTGGACCTGGTGTGAGTGTTTGTGTGTGTCCTGTGATGGACTGTTGTCCCATCCAAGGTGCACCCTGCCTTGCCCTTGCGCCCTGTTGCTTGCTGGGATAAGTCTGGCTCCCCTGCAACCCTGTATTGGATAAAGTGGTTAGCAAATGGATGGATGAATTTACAAATACAAAGGGCTAGACCTCAAGGCAACCATAATGGTTTTAAATGTGTTGCCCAGCACTGAGCGATGGTGCTTCCAGTCCAAATACAATGTTTCTTGGCATGTCTGAAAAAACAAACAGGGAGAATATGTGTGATGATAGTGGATCCTGTGAGCAGCTGAAAACAGGCCTGTGTGCTGAGAAAGAAAACAATAACAGAAAAAAGCAATATTTGCTCCATTTATTGTATAAAGAATCTGGATGACCAAGAAAAATATTTTTTACAATACATATACACGATTTCCCATTTCCTTCTATTTATATACTGTATACAACTTATATATGATTTTGTGACATTTTACAGTACAATCCTTAAATTTTTGTTGTACCTTTTGAAAGAGAAGCCATCTTTCTTGTGCAAAGAAGAAGACATCTCTTCCTTTGAAGGTTTGAAGGTCGGTGACTGCTGGCCTCATCTAATTTTCCTAATTGTCGTGAATTCGGGATTTGCAAGGAAAACACTTCCCATATTGCCACACAGTCACATCAGCCCCATGGAACCTGAAACAAAACTTTGGCGGCATCTTAAGCTGACAGCCTTTTATTTCTCTTGTTGGATCAATAAGCATAATAATATTATTATTATACTTGTAATATGCTTATAATAATATTATGCTTAATATGCTTACGCTTAATAACATTTACAGTAAATCCAAAGCAGGTAAAAAAAAAATTGTTCTTGAAAACAGTTGAAAAAGCACGTAGATTGTTGCTACTCTTAAAGTGCTTCCAATCCAAAAATGAAATGAAAAGGCTTTGTGCAATAAAATAATTAGCTGCAAATACAATATTGAGGTGTCTATGGCAACATATAAAAAATGTACAATGCTAGCAATCATCAGTGCATTTCTCCTATAGGCACAATTTAAACCATGATTCCTGAAAACCCAGTTGTGGTAATGGATGTGTAGCTTAAATCCATGAGTGACACATTCATACAGTACACTGGGGGGAAATCTGAAAATGAGTGGACACGAAATGGGCTGCCTGTCAAAACCCAGTTACTGCCTGTCAAAATTAATGTAATTAAGCACGAAGAGTAATGCATAATAAAACGAAGTTGCAATGCAGTGATGCCTTGACAAATGAGGTTAATTGGATTTAATTGTATGAATTGATTGCACTCCTCGGCTCCTCAGTGCAATTGTGTAAAGAATGATTTTTCCTCTTCACTATGTCGGTTCCCCTAAATATGAAATGTCACGAATAGGCTATTCTTGAATAATATTCAGAATATCAGATATTGGTATTTTCTATCATGAATACTGATTAAAAGATGCTAAGGATTAAATAAAATGGTAATGATAAGTTGATTGCGCATCTGTAGTTTGGCTCTCAATCATGGACATGCTTTAGTTTTTATATGACTCCCTTTCCCTACTCTGCACTTGACTAGGCTGTATATCCCGTGTACCCTCAAGGTGATTCCTCAGCAGGGACAAATCACAACATACACATTCCACAGAGCACTCCAACTGTACAGGATTCTGTTCCTAATTTACAAGATATTATCGCTCTGTGCCGCTGTGCAAGAAAGCATCATGCAGTGCAATGAAATCCTTTTATAAGCTGGTATAAAGAATAAATAATGTATTGTTCTGGCTCAGATTTTTTTGCACTCAATAATATGAATAAAAATCTACAGAAATACTCAGGTTTCAAAAAAGACACCACACAGGCTCTACTGCTACTCATCAGTTCTTACATCTCCTCCATCTTCCCTTGTTAATTCTCTCTTAGGAAGTGTCAACACCCATTAGACGTAAGGGACTGGAACTTGATACTTCACACATTGAGTTAAAAGGGTGCTGTGCGCTTGTTGTTTTGATATTTGCTAATAAAAAAATGGGAGAAAATGCTTGGTTAATAGACTCCATTAGTTTCACAGCATTCAGACAGAAAAGCAGATTTAAACTGACTGATCGTCTTGTTGATCTCTGCAATGCTTACCTGATGGCAGCTTTAGAAGGAACACAGAGAACTGCGTCTTAAAAGATAACAAAGCTGTGGATATATTTAAGGTAATCTCTGGATATGAAACCACAGAAACAGGTATAGTGTCTTCATTTCAAACAGTAAGCCTTCTAATGGTATGAAATGAGAACAGTGTTCTACCAATGGTCATAATTATTACCAAAGTGTCGTCTGACAAGCACATCTTCTCCCCTGTAACCCTTTGCCAAAACTCTTCAGCATTCACCATTCATTCATATCAAATAAAGAAAAAGACCCTACAAATCAAAAGGAAACTAGATCCAAAATATTTAAAGCAATAAACCACAAGCAGTGGTGTAGATCGTTGTCATAAATATGGTGACAAAGGAACCTCACAAATCAAATTAAAAAATAATACAGAAATAGTCTTGAGATCCATGGGAAAATAGAGGGTCCACATTCATTAAGATGTAGTGTCATTGTAATGTAACTCACATTACTGAGATCTATGCCCCCCAGTGTCAGTTTTCCTCTTGGACCATTTAAATGAGGTTTGGTTCTTCTACTCAAAGTCCTTCACTGCTCGTCCTCTCTCCATCAAAGGTAATGTCTGCACTTGATGAGCTTTTGGAAAGCCTTTTTGAAATCCTCATTGAAGATGGTGTAGATGAGGGGGTTAATAAGAGAATTTAGGTACCCCAGCCATGTCAGGAAGTCAGCCACTTCTAAGGACACGCTGCACACAGAGCAGACGTTGACGATGAGTTCCTTGAGAAAGAAAGGCAGCCAACAAATCACAAAAGCCCCCAAGATTAAGCCCAGAGTGGTGGCTGCTTTCTTTTCCCTGGTGCTGGAAATCTTTTGTCTCCTCCAGGACTTTTCCCGGTGGGATTCACTCTTGGGGCTCTTGATGGTGATGTGCATGCGCTCCCCTTCAGTAGAAGGCTCAGAGTAGGACTTCTCTGGAGGGCACAGGGCAGGATTGCTCTTTGAGCGCTTGTCCATGCACTCCGGCAGCATGTTGCCATTCATCTCCTCCTTGGTAATGCGGCTGACGCTCCTCTTGTGGTACAGGGTCTTGGCTGCCCTGTAGATCTTGTAGTACAGGATAAGAATGAGGGCAAGGGGGATGTAGAAGGCCCCAAAAGTGGAGTAGATGGTGAAGGCGATGTGGTTGTGCTTGATGAGGCATTCATCATCCTTGTTTTCGTTCTGGTGCCTCCAGAACAGTGGGGGCATTGAGATGAAGATGGAGATGGTCCATACCACCGAGATCATGATGGCAGCACGCTTGGGTGTCCTTTTGCGGGAGTATTCCACTGCATCTGTGATGGCCCGGTAGCGGTCCAGGGCTATGGCAGCCAGGTGCAGGATGGAGCAGGTGCAACAAGTGATGTCGACGCTCAGCCAGATGTTACACACCACTTGGCCCATGATCCAGGTCTCTTTCATTATGTAGACGATGCTGAAGGGCATCACAAGGATGGCCACCAGAAAGTCAGTGACGGCCAATGAACAAATCAAATAGTTGGCAGGATGGTGCAGCTTCCTGGTGACGATGATGGCTGTGATCACCAGAGAGTTGATGGCCGTGGTCATCAACGCCAGCAGGGACAGAGTCAGGGATATCAGGATCTTGCTGGTGGGGCCTTTATTGACCACTTCAGCAGTGCCATTGGTGCTGTTGCACAAATCCATGCTGAGGGAGACCGGTGAAGAAAATCCCCACCGTCCATGAGAACAAAGAAACAGCAAAAATATGAAACAAATTAGCTTCAATGAAAAGAGCATTAATCTAAATCTCTGATAAAAACAGATTGGTCTGCAAATGACAGTGGCTTTAGTCAAGTGGTGGCCTGGATCACTATGGCAATGCACACTGAACTGTGTGAGAAACGAGCTACAGCTGTACAGTTTGTCCTGCCATTTTCTTTGGACAAATTCAGACTGCCACAGATTAGCTCTGCCTCTTTCTGGGTGTGCTATGACTTTAGTACTCTTAGCAAGCCCTGACTGCATTAAAATAATGAATGCACCGCAGCTGGGCTAGCACAAATCACTGAAATGGGGAGAGGATCTAACTATAAAATATAAACACTTAAACACATCCACAGATGGGTCTAGCCTATTTCACTCCTTAAATCCAATGACAACAAAGAAAATGTAAAATAAACTTTATTTCAAAGAAAACATCTCACTATCAGTAGGTAAAGTAGGTCAGTCCCCTTTCCAGGCCATAAAGGCCCATGGGGGAATGGGCCACCATTTATCTGGACCATCCAACACTGGGGGTGGAGGTGATGTGGTCAGCAGCATGCTCCAGCCGGCCTATTACACCTGGAGGGATTAAACCCCAGTACTCATTTGGAAAGCAGGCTGAGTGGACCTGGGAGCCGTCTGGAAGGAATTAGAGCAAGCTACATCGCTTGCCCCTACCTGGGATTGAACCCAGGACTTTCCAGTCAGGAGCTACAGTAGATGCCCTTGCCATCTCAGCTACCATGGCTACTATCATAATCAATCAATAATCAATAATCAATAATCAATAATCATAATATTCTAAAATATCAAACTATCATCAAAAAAACTTTCCGAAACAGCTGATTGTCCACTATCAATCCGTGCAAGTGGATGATGGGGCCAGATTTGCGCAATGAAAGAATCCCTCCAATCCTTACCACTTGCTTTTTCCCATGCCATTTCCCTGTCCCAGCTCTGAAACTGCGGAGCAGGAGCTCATGGAACAGGGAGTCGCACTTTAGGCCCTGTAGCCTGGCCAAGTGGTCTCAGGTGCAGGATTAAGGCTCCAGTCTCTTTGGGGGTGTGGGTTTGAATCCCACTGCTGCCAGGTGCTTCTGTGTTAAAACTAATCAGAGATATATACCTCACTGTGTTCCTGGGGGTGTTTTTAACTATCTGAGATTTCATAGTTGAGAGATGTTGATGCCCTGAAGGGACAGAATAAGGTCCAGTTCTCCCAGGGCTTTACAATCTCAGATGAATCAAGCACAGTCCCACAACTCGCAGTAATTGCACACAACGTTTGACTAATATTCTTCTCCTCTCATGTCTTCCACACATAAGCCCAGCAGAATCCCTTTGGGTAACAATAATGTTAAGCATCCCCAGACCTCAGGGATAAACCAGACCAGGACTCCACACACTGAAATGCACAGGCGGGTGCAGTTTGTAGTTGCACAACAGCACTAGTCTTTATAGAATGTTTCCCTGTACAGTCCTCCTGGAAAACTTGACAAATATATTTTGCTGGTAATTACCTCAATGATTACAAAAAAAAAGATAAATACCTGAATTTGAAGGAATTTGGTCATTCATACCTTTACGGGTTCTTCTCATTGAATACAAACATATGTAGAGGAGCCTTCCTTTCCTGATCTGAATCCCAGGCTACCCCTGTCTCTTTCAATTAGGTCAATCATGACGTGGGGCTACCTGCACCCCGATGATCGTCATCAGGGGTAAAATCTTCACCTAGAGGCAGAAAGAGAGAGCAGGAGGGAGAAAAAAGGAAGTGCATGTCAGGAGGAAGACTGCATGATGTGCCATATGACAGAGCCGGATTTGCATGAAAGGAGAAAAGACTAATGCCATCACCCCTGATATTTTGCCGATCAAAGAGACTGTTGTCAAATGCACAGAAACAAAAAAGCTCATCTCTGTGTCTTTGAAAAGGAAATTGGGATCCCCGAGACCAGCGGACAAAGACAAAAGAGCCCACTGGCACATTCATTGTGCCGCTGCACCAGAATAAAGCCCTCATTTTATTATGCATAGAAGGTATTTAAGCCTTACATCTTCTCTCCATCCTTCTCTCCTGTCGGATGGAATAAGTGCGCACTTCCATGCCTGCAATCAACGCCATGGTTCGAATGTGGGCAGAGGACAGCCAGAGGCAATTCTCTTTTTCACCTCTTCGTAACTGGCTGCTGCTACATTGCTTCTCTATTAATGTGTCAATCTATCCAGCTTTGAGAGAGACCTTACAATCTGTGCTGGGTGTTTAGATATTTATTTTATTTTTAATAACAAGTTAAAGATCTACATAGACTGTAACGTCTTCTACAAAATTATACCTACAGTATACGTCCGCTTCTGTCGTAAATATAAGATATGGCCACGACAAGGGCAAAACAGCTATCCGGGCTGCTAATTTTCATACAGTATACTGTATAGTAAATATGTAGAATGTAAGTAACCACATCTAATTTCACATGAATGGAAACACATTAACAGTACCCGATTGTCATAAAATATGGGTTTAATGACATTTATTTATAAATTTGTTTTTAATAAGTTATCAGAAAGGGCTCTGTACCTTTACAAGACAGGCTCAAATGTAAAAGGGAAGCCACTGCACATAGTCAATATTTCATGTGCACACCTGCCTTAAAATAATGTACTACTTCACTCTTAGAAAACCTGTAACAGTTTTGTTTCACAATGCGAGGTAAACAAGAGCTCTCACATAGGGGGTACTGGCTGAGACTCAAACATGGTGGCATTTCTGATTAACTGTACAGTGCAGGAGCTGTGCCAGATCAATCCCACAAATGCTCGCCAAATGCAGAGTGAGGCTGTTTACTGACTTATCCAATGCAATTCATATTGAAGGGGAAAAATCTCACACAAGAATTGTGACCAGATGTAGCACTGTGAAGCAGAAAGCAAACAACATAGCATGGAGGGGTCACATTCAAAAGCACTAGTTCAAATCTAAACCTGAGAGATTATGATGCCAACCCTTTGGTTTTTGATAGTAATAAATATGTGGAGCTCATCACTGTAGTAGGCACGACATCAACTTAAAAAACACTTTCAGTGCCTTGTACTAAATATGGAACAATTGTATTTCTGTGCTGGGAGGTAAAGCAGAAATATAAGTGTAATGTCACAACCATAAGTGGCATAAAATCTAAGGTACTTGCATTACCCATTTAGTCATCATCATTTTCTAAAGCCACTTACTGCTGGTGAGGGTCGTGGTGGTGACAGGCTGAGCAGGGCAGACCAGAATTCCCTAGCAACATCTCCTTCTGGGAGATTCCCAGCTGCTCCCAGACCAGCTGGGAGATATAATCCCTCCAGTGTGTCCTGGGTGTGCCTCAGGGTCTCTTCCCAGTGGGTTGCACTTAAAATCAAATTGAGTGGGTACAACTCCAGCGAGAGGCCCGGGGGGGATCCTCATCAGATACCTGAGCCACCTCAACTGGCTCCACTTGATCCAGAGGAGCAGTGGCTTTACACCAAGGACCTCCTAGACTGCCGAACTCCTCACCCTGTCACCGAGAGTAAACCCAGGAACCCTATGGAGAAACCTCATTTCCGCTGAAGTACACATTTTATGTCTAACTAAAACACCTTTCCTGTGTCAGCTATGAAAGGTGTAAAAAAACATAGAGATGGTCTGCACTTGGAAAAGTCGATATGTAGACATTGTGGCATTAAATGGGAGTTTGTTCAGTGTGGAGGCAGAGCCCTGGATTAAGGGCGACAATGCGTTGCCTTAACAACCACAGCTCCCTGGCTAATTTAGGACGAGCCACAGCTGTGGGGGCTTTTAAAGAACACACTGAGCACCCTGTCGGAGGGATAAGCAAACCCCCGCAAGGGGAGAGCGTTCCATCGACAGTCCCGGAGGGGGATTGTGATACGAGCATTAAGCCGTCATTTTTACTTCATTTTATTTTCTTTTTCTTTTCTCCTGTCCTGCCGTTTATCTACACTGGGACAGGCTAAACCTTTCCTCCCCTGTCCCATTGTGTACAGTATCTCCACCAGGACAGGTTCAGTTTCTGTTGTTTTTGGCCTCGCCTTTTTCCCCCCCCAGGCTGGACACTGTTAAATAGGGACAGTCCAGCCTGGATACCACTGTCCCATGCAGTGTATTTTTCTTTTTCCATTTTTTGTTATTTTTTTTGCCAGTTTTCGCTGACTTCACACCGGTATCTCTGCTCCCTCAGACGGAATGTCGACTTGGGTGTTCGCCGTGGCTCCTCCAACTCCTGCAGGTACAACATTTAATAAACGTGGGAAAACACCCCTTTAAAGCATAGATTAGAATACAATAGATCTTTATGCTGTTAGTCCCTTATGTCTTCACCATAAACACATGGACATTGAGAACTCAAGCCTTGAAGTGGTTTCAAAGTATGTTGCCTTGGAATGTGAACTCAAGCTATGACAGTGCTATTATTATAGAGATACAGATATTCCCACCCCTTATAAAACTGTGCTCAGACTCACACGCTAGCTAACCGTGGCATTGGGCTAAGTCCTCGACTATTGGGAAGACAAGTATTGTGCTTTTCACAACAGTTGGCTTGCCATCAATGTGCAAAACCCAACGTTTGAGTTCAGTCAATCTGTCAGTATGAGAATCAAAGTTAACAGCATATCTTTGAATACATTTTGAAGGCTCAAAACAATTACAACTTTAATTTCTCGTACTAATATGGTAATTCATTACGCGATTAATATTTGTGACAGTGGAACACACCTCCCACTGCACGCGCCCCTCCGCGGCGCGTGGGAATGTGCAGCTTCCACAGCTGACGCTAAGCGCTTTTAAGATCCCAACGCGCCCGCAGACAGCGTTCACGTCAGAACCGAATGTGTTTCTCTCATCGGCGGCACAAACTAATTTCTCCGATCTGAGAAAGATTTCTCTCCAGTACCAGAGAACCGAAACCTCTGCAGACGACTACACACCGGCACACCGCAGGGAAGATAACACGCGGTCTGCCGGTGTTCAGGCAGCCTTCTAACACTACCGACACTATCACAATATGTTGCTTATGATGTCTGAGTTTCTTGAACGTTATTCATAAATCTGTAACGTTCCAGTTATCTCTTTGCAACGATGCAGATAGTAACAATATTAAGTTACTTTAAGAATGTTTCATTTACAAATAAGCTGTTTAGAGAGGATTTTATTTTTACCGTAATACGGAGTGATTTTCTTAGCTTAAGCAGATGAGGGGGGAAAGGAAAGCACTCAAACTATCTCCCCTCAGTTTTGTGTGGGTTATAACGGGATTAAGAGGCTCAGAGAATAATTCCACAATGAAAAGAAAAAAGCAGGAACACAATGCTTCCTCTGTGGAACATCTTCAGGTTTGTGGGAGAGAGCAGAGACATGGGACAAAGGCGGGGGGCAGGGAAGACAAACCCACTTGTGAGAATAGGTAGGGGCTTGAAAATGGGGCCGAACTGATGGGGACCTGGGTAGCAGACTCTAGGGGGAGATCTCAGGGGAGATCAGTTGTTCATTGTGTGCTGGAGGAGTGGATCAAGTCTAAGGCTATTTATGTCTTCTTTCTAGTTCAGGTCCATGTAGAAGTGTGCTGTTGGGCTTGTATTTGTGGGTACCTTGTGTTTATCTTGTTTTTCCTAACCCAACCTGCGCTGTGTCTCTGCTCTCCCACTCTGTTGTCCTGTAGGTGGAATGGCAGCCGAAACGCTGCATTTTTTATCGTTTCAACACTGAATCGATCTCTAGTTTTCCCTACAGGGCATCAGTCAGCAAACCAGTGTACTAAGTAATACAGGCCCTTGAATACGTGTCATTTGCAAAATAAGCTTGACTGATGTGCAAATCGAATCGAAAGAAGAAAAGCGAAAGAAAAGCAAAATGCCTGATGGATTTTCATAGTATTTTAAAAGCTATCACAATATTAGGTGCATGACAATCAAAGAGAGAAGAGGGAGTGCTTTCTGAATGCTTCCTATAGTGATTCATATTAATGAAAGTAATCTTTAAGAAAACTTCAGACTTGTGAAATAATTTGTTTTGTCTACCCTCCAGTTTTTCAGTGCTACTCTAACACTCTCCCAGATACAGTAGGTGTAGTCAGGCCTTCTGCTTCCTTTATGCTAAAACAGAACAGAGTATAAATCTGAGGCAAAACAGCAGACAGATTCTGTCAATCAGAAACCAATGTGTTGTCTAAATGAGCAGCAAAACGAATGTCATTTCTGATTATTGCCAAAACGTGTGCGCACTGATATCATGGCAAGCCTTTAAAAATGTTTTCGATAAGCCTTTTTTTGGTTGTTTGAAATTATTTTCTGGATGGCTTCTGTCATACTCAGTACACCTAGAGGGCGCTCTACTTCTCTCCTGTTCCTATTTCCCTGTGATTATTCGTGTCTTTACTTCCTGCTTCTGCTCTCCTCCTCGCTCAGCATTTAGGTTCGGATGTCCTGAAACCTGCCTAGCACTAGGTCGCCCCACGTCCACTACGGCATTTCCTGAACAGCTGAGCCCGGGCTAACCCCCGTCTCGCCGCTACGCATAGGGTCTTTATCGCTCTCCTGCCATTCCACGGTTCGTCCTTTCAGACATCCTTGACAGCTTCATTCAGGCACAATAATCTACTTCACTTTGCAATGAACTCTCCTTGCTTCTTATCTTTTGCTTCTTCAAATTCAACCACGAGTAAGAAATAAGCCATGACTTTAGGACAAGATAAAATCTAAATAAAGGGGAGCTGAGGAGCAGTTTTTGGTACATCATTAGGAAATGAAATGACATAGTCCTGATCAGGGGGATATTAGGACAATGCATTCTGAAAATAAACCTGAGTACACAATTATAAAATTACACAATGCACTTTGGTCAGCTTTGATATAACAATGGTCTAATTTATTTGCAAATGCAATAATTTGAATTATAGGGGGAAAGCAATGCTTTACGTTTACTGCATTGAGTTTAATTTAAAATACTTAACTACCAGTAAATAGTAAAACTGTTTCTGAAATACTTTAACAGTCATAACAAAAACAGTGCTAAGGAAATACTTGTTTTGTGAGCTGAGGAACCAAACCCCTAATTTCCCCTTAAGGTATTAAGTCCCGCATTTGCAAATCTGAGATTTATTTTACTCTACGGAAGATATGTTCAAGATAATAATGTAAAA